CCTATACACAGTGATTTGCACTGAATCCAGACCTGGTTGCACCACTCAACTACCACAGACTGCAGTGCAGCCATAGTTTGAAGTTCTAATCAATGTTCCAATTCTCTCTTGATCTCTTTTCCCTATTTAAAGCTCTCTCTGTGTGCATCATGACCTCACCTCCCCTCACACTGTGAGGTCACTGTGTGGGGGAGGTGCTACACTAATGATGGTACACATGTGGGCTCTGCCTACTCTGCCTGTAAGGATGAAATGCTGCCTGAGCATTGTATAAAGTCACGTTTATTTGGGTTACAGAAAATATCCAACTAAATTCGGACGTCATGTGCTCTTTATGGGTGTCATGCATTATACTAGTACATGTGACGTGAGGACAATGAGATAATGGTGCTTAATCCATATTCAAGTCATGATTATTACCAGGGATAAAATGCCATCTGGATGAACCTAGATCCCAGGAGTTAGGAGAGAATATCCTAAGCAGTGGCTGGATGGCTGTGTGATGTGACCTGAGACCTCAAGCTCTACTTTGACAGAACAGATGTTCTGTGGAAACCAACGGAGGGGTTCAAAACCTGTATCGGCGTATCTACTTTGTGTTTTTTCTATACAATATACTTTTTTATATCTGCTGTAATCTCTGCACTTGGCTTGATAGCACAGGAGGGTGTTTGTGCTGCTTGCTTCAGTATCATGCGGATGTGTCTGTCTCTGTTGTGCGGCTACACTGCTTATTCCTGCATTTTGATTCTACATTTTGATTCTACAGTCTACTGTATCTGCCTGCCTTTCTGCAGGGCTTCCTGTGTTCTAGGTGGGTGGGTGGGGGGTGGGGACACAACCCACAACACTGATTGGTAGATGAGAAAGTGTGTATGTGAGAGAATGGCCTTGCTTACATTTTTTATTCAAAAATAGTTTGGATGTTGTTTCTGTTGCTTAATGTCCTGCTTGTAGATGCGGATGTGAATAAAGCTTTAAGAACTGTGCTTCTATGGGTCAGTTTCTTTCTGAAGGCCAGTATTGAAGTTATCGGTGTTGATCGGATACTTAAATTGTCAGACATCGATGATGACCCACTTTCTCACTCCAGTGGGAGGTTAAGATTAAGTAGGAGGTAGAAACACAGCTTTCTCATGGTGATTTTCTTCTTATCTTAAAGACATTAAAGGCATGCCTACACCACACATTGAAACACTGATGGATTATCTCTGTTATGACAGCACAGAGCCTCTACCCTGCAGTCCGCTGCAAATGATTGATGGGAGTGGGCTGGTTGCCAGGAACCACATGGCACCTAGGAAATGGTTGCCATGACAACCACACCAGCTTCCTGTGATTACAGAGGAGGGAAGATTATCATGAACACCCTGCTTTCTATTTTGTCTCCGTCACTCCCTCTCTCATTTTGGGCTGTTCTGTACCTCTCCCGCTCTCTGTGATTAAATGTGTCTGCTGTGTGATTGTCTTTGCACCAGATATTTCATAACTCATGACATAATCTCTCTGTTTGACTAGAGTGTGAATGACACTTTATTATCATCATACTGTATGTAATCTAGTGTAATCATCATACTGTATGTAATAAAGTATTTCAGTAATCATATTCAAGCCCCTGCAGAGTGCTCCAGTTACAACAGTCAGTACCTTCTATCTGCAGCACCAACCCACACAAACCTCTACTTTCTTGCTCTCCCTCCCTCTGTCTCAGTATTTCCCTCCCTCTATCTCCCACCATTCTCAGTTGCTCTCTCTCATACACACCTATGCTGATGTGCACACACACACACAAATTCCTCTTTCTATTGGCAGCGTTTTCCTCAACTAAAGCTCTTGTGGTTCAGCACCATGGATAGTGACCCATCTCAAACTTCTGTTGCTATGGAGATGAGCTGTGCTGCCGAGAGAGGTACATTTCTCATTGTCCACTAGGAGTCAGTCAGACATCATACATTAATTGCAATGAACATATCCTACCTACCCCAAGTTTGAAAGTGTCTATGACTGGAAAATATTAGGTAGTCTTACACACAAGCAAATAATAGGCTAAACATACATTTAAATTATTTATTTTCTAGCAACTGAAGCATTAATCATTGTTTTTACTACACAGGACAAAGATGACTACATTATGACTACAGATGACAGTATTATATATGCTGTATACAGTGGCGATTTTAGCATGTAAATCTTGGTGGGGCAAACTCCAAAAAAAATGTTTGATGCATGCCAGCAAAACCACTACACTACACAACACAACACTAAACAATACATTAATTGGACTATAATGGTGACAAACGGTGCCCACAAACTGTTAGGTCCTAGATAAAGCTGTCCCAACAGCAGAGTCCCAACAGCAGTCCCAACACCTTACCACCGCTACATCTGGCTATCAGTGGAGCCTTGTCTTGCAGCGAAATAGTTCATTCAGCCTTTTAAAAAACCATAGCTGATATGGCTGACTTTGTTAAACAAATGTGGTTTCTACTGACAATTGAGACAAACTATGGTGTAAGGCAACGACGAGCGGATAAGAGGCAATCCGTAATTTTGATTAAGACATTAATGAGCGAGCTAGGACGGACGTAGTCAATATAACTATTTGTTCAGCACTTTTGAAATGTACAGCGACAGAATTCAGAACATGGCCCGTTCTTACAGTATTCTCTCTGTACACCAAGTCAGAACCGTAGGATAAATAAAGGGGGCATATAAGCAGACAATGAAAGCTCTTACAATATTCGATGATAACATTTCTCTAAAACATGCTATAGGCTACATGTGCACCACCAAGTCAGAACAGTAGACTAAATTATGAGGGGTAAATTGACCAAATTATTAGGGTGAGGCACATGGGCTACTAACAGCTTACTACAGAACATACAGTATACATATCTCCCTGGCATATTACATCATTTATGCAGAAGCATACAATACATTTTTGACTCACCTTGTTGTGCTGTGGCTTTGCCCCACCTGCCCTGAATGATACGTCGCCACTGGCTGTATATCAAACACTACATTATGACTACAGATGACTGTATTATATATGCTGTATATCAAACACTCCAGTAGTTTGCCGAGCACTCACTGCTTATACTTCCTCTTTGTGGGGGTAAGGTTCCAAATTTGTAAAGCTACTTTGTCAGTAATTTTATTGAACCAGATTAATCAGATCCAATGATGTATGACCATCTGTCAGGACAGGTTGCAGCTAGTTGTGCATTGATGTAGCCATAGGGATATTAAAATGACAAAATCTGCATATGACATGCCGACTTGTGTACGTTTTTTTATGTTTGATACTCCCATTTTGACATGCACTCAGCATCGGAGGAGTTGAAGCAAGAAAGTAGACCGGGATCGTGGTAAAGTAAGTGGACTACTGAGAGTCAGAACATATATGACAGGGTAGCAGGTAACGTAGTGGTTAGAGCGTTGGGCCAATAACCGAAAGGTTGTTAGTTCAAACCCCTGAGCCGAGAAGCTCTCTCGCGCTCTCGCTCTCTCTTGCCGATGAGGCTTTGGGTGATTCAATAATAATATGCCATTTAGCAGACGCTGATGCCTGGCCTACAATGAGTGAGCAAGAATTCAGAATAAAACTCTTGAACTTTTCAGAAAAGAGACTCCAGAAACACTCCCCAACGTCTATTCCACGTTGGTTCAACGTAATTTCATTGAAGTTACGTGGAAACAACATTGATTCAACCGGCGTGTGCCCAGTGGGTCATAGAGCGAGGTATGCTCTTTAGACTAGAGAGGGGCCCCATTCTCCTCAAACTAGCCTGGTAGATATTCAGAGCACACTTGACTAGCAAAATGAAGGAGTTAAGTGAAAACACACACAACAGTTAGGAGTAGGCTATCTTGGTTATACTTCGACAGTGATCATGTTCCATATATTCGTTCCTATGTGAGAATTCTAGACTTGAAAGAGATAGCTATCCTATGATTGATGAATGATTATACTGAGTAATTGAATGAAGGTAAGTACGAGTAAAAGGGAAAAATCATACCCGTGTTTGTGTGTGTGTGCGTGCGCTCTCGACTGTGTCTGCATGTACGTGTGACTACAGTATTAACATTATAGGTGTAAGCTATAACACATTACGCGATGAATGATGGCTACGGATGACTGATGGCTATGCATGCCTGATTTTCTATTTACGATGTTGTTTCTATTTAGTCTGGAATTATTATCAGTATAAAACTGTGTGATTGTTCTATGGCAGGATGAGTTTATTGTCTGACTTCTGAGTGCCGCTCCTGTGTCCTGGCTTAACAACCACCCTGACTGTGTATCAGGCGAGCTGTGGGAACTGAACGCGAGTAGACGTCCGCTAAACAAGAGTGGTGGTTGGACGGGAGCTCTCCATGGTGCTGAAATCAGACTCCAAGTGGTTTCTTTATTTTTTAACGTTTTTTGGGGGGAGCGTTCTTCCTTTTCATTAGTCATATATTATGTCCCCTTTTTCTTCGACTGACTTTTTACTGATAAAAGCCACCAGACATTTATCTAGTTGGATTGCGCGTAAGAATTTAACAGCGCTGCACAAAACTTTTCACCTCTTTTCAGTCTGCCCTCCTGTAGCCTATGCCAGCTTTTTTTCTCTGGAACCAGTTTACGGTTCTCTTGTGGGCTCTTTTGTCAGTCAAGTTACTCTCCACACGGTGTCAGTGTCTACCAGCAAAACAATAATTTACTCAACTCCACCTAGGGACTAGCAAAAAGCCTATTTTGCGCCGACCATCAGTGAAATTGCAATGAGGTGGAAGACAGTGAGGTTGTTTCTCCTTAGGATAGCAACATCTTCCATTGTTTTCATTTGGTTCTCTTTCTTTCCGTCACAATGTACGGATTACATTTGTGAAAGGATTACTTAACAATAACTGCATTCGAGAACCGTGAATGGGTTTGGATTGTGAATCTATTTTGGCTGTTGCTTTGTATTCCGGGTGCTGTGTCTGGACAAACTACTTATTCCGTTTCCGAATAGTTAAAAGCGGGGGCATTTGTTGGGAATTTGGCTAAGGATGTAAATCTGAAAGTGACTGAACTGGAGGCACGCAGGATTCAGATTGAATCTGGAACATTTAAGAAACATTTTGAGGTATATTTGAACACTGGGGCTTTCTTCCTTAGCGAAATGATAGACAGAGATTAGCTTTGTCCTAACAACCTTGTTTGTACTGAAAGCTTGGAGGTTATTGTTATTAATCCTTTACAAATGTAAAATGTTGAAGTAAATATACTAGACATAAACGACAATGCACCACATTTTCCTGTGAAATCGCAGACTATTCGGATTGTTGAGCTAACTGCACCAGGAGCTAAATTTCCTCTGCCTACAGGATGTAGGAGCAACTCTACTGAGTCTTATAAACTCTCCCCAAATGCCCTTTTCACACTAGAGGTACATACTGAGGCTGATCGTGGTCCATCAGTAGAGTTAGTGCTACAGAAAGCTTTAGACTGAGAGAAACAAGCTGTGATCAAACTTGTACTGATAGCTATTGATGGAGGAAAGCCTCCGAGATCAGGGACCACATAAATAATTGTCAACGTACTAGATGCAAATGGTAATGCCACAGGTTTTTTCCAAGGCCCTATATAAGGCAAAAGTCTTAGAGACAGCACCCATTGACACTACTATCCTAAGGCTTGATGCAACATACCTAGACGAAGGTATGAATGGTGAAATAATGTATTTGTTCAGCAAACAAACAAGGGGGAGGATATGATAGATTTGCAATCTACTAGAGCAATGGGAAATAACCGTGGCAAGGCCTTTAGATTATGAGGAGACCAGTGTGTATGAAATCCGAGTAGAAGCCCAGGACCGAGGCCACTTGCCTCTCGCCTCGCCTCACATTGCAAAGTGTTGGTAGAGGTAGTTGACATAAAGGATAATGCCCCAGACATCAAACTCTCCTCCCTTTTGGAGAGTGTTAGAGAGGACGCAAATAAAGGTGTGGCAGTTGCGCTTATCACGGTTATTTCTTAAAATTCTAAGCTGTTTGGGGGGGTTCTAAGCTGACATATGGAATTGTCTTAAGATGGTTATACTATGGATAATTTAGCTATTTGATTTGGAACTTTAGGACCCCTTTAGGTATAATTTTTTGGGGGATAAAATATTGAATTTGGACTTTACTACTATAGCCCAGAGAAACGCATTGAATAAGGTAGCTCTGGCACATTTCACGCAGATGCGGAAGTGCGACATCGGCGGATGCGGTGGATTGAGATCACAGGTGGTTGGTGGCACTTTAATTGGGGAGGACAGTCTCGTGATAATGGCTGTAGCGGAATAGGTGGAATGGTATCAAATACATCAAACACATGGTTTTCATGTGTTTGATGCCATTCCATTTGCTCCATTAGGCCAATAGTATGAGCCGTTCTCCCCTCAGCAGCCTCCTGTGATTGAGATGCATCCAATGCAAAAAAAAACATATCTTGAGCTTAAACTGACGGATTTTGATGGGGATTTTTCAAAAATGTTACTTAGATTGAGGTACCAGTGCGTCAATCACTCTAGGGGGATTTATTGATAAGGATGGCGGTAAAACCGGGAATGTGCATTGTGCCATATCTGGTGGCTCACCATTTCTATTGGAGTCATCTCAGGGTAAATACTACTGCCTCGTCCTTGGAGAAACGCTGGACAGGGAAATCAACTCTCAGTATAATGTCACCATCATAGCCACAGATGAAGGGACCCCGTCTTTGTCCAGTACTAGTATTATTACTCTGATGTTAATGACAATGCGCCACGCTTTCCAGAACCCATTGTTAATGTGTTCTTAAAAGAAAATAGTCTGGCAGGATATTTTATATCTGTTGGGATTGCGCTGGATTCAGATTCAGAAGCAAATGCTCAAATATTATTTACTAGAGCCCATAAATAGGCCTACAGCTTTGCAGACACCTGTCAATGTGAATTCTGCAACAGGTAAAATGTACAGCATGCAGTCAGTGAACTATGAAGAAGTGAAACAGTTCCAGTTCCAAATTCAGGCCACATACCCTGGTGTTCCTCCACTAAGCAGCAAGGTCACTGTCAACGTTTTTATTGTGGATGAGAATGACAACAGTCCTGTGAATCTCCCGCCTTATTCTGACCACGGCTCCGTTAATTCTGAGAACATTCCCTATTCTGCTGAAGCGGACAAATTGGAACCAGCAATGAACACCACACACCCTGACGGGAGCTGGTCTTACTCCAAATCTACCCAGCAGTATGACGTGTGTTTAGCTCTGACAGACTGAAGAGTGAGTGAGTAGATTTCCCCACGCCATTTCCACCTGCTGATGCTGAGCTGATCAGTATTAATGGTGGGGACACAGATGCTTCCCAACACTATATTAGCATATTCTATATCATTCTACTAATAGTGTTTTGAAACAGTTACTTACATGTGCCTGTAAGGCATTGTTGTTATGTTTTTATCTTTGCTGCTAATTAATAGGCAAAAGATCCAACCAAAGATCCAGGTTTGGAAAGAGGATTGTTTTGCACTGGTTTGAGAGTAGGCACATATGAACATTTGCAATCCCACCTGTGCTAGAGTAGCTACCAGGAACTATTGACTACGCTGTAAAAACAAACAAACAAACAAACAAATAATCCTGTTGTTTTTAAGGTAACTTACTGGCAGCCGTTACCTGTAAATTACTGTAAAAGTATGTTAGCGTAAATTCCAAAGACATTTGGTTTAACAGTATATTATGACCCTTTCTCTTCAGAAAAAGGCTGACTGTTTTCATGTTTCAACGCTGGGAGTCGCTGTTGACCATGATAGAAATGCACCTGACTGAAATCCTGGGCTCCTCCTGTCCTTAGCTACATGGTGTCTATATGTAGGCTAGCATAGCAGTGGAGCCTTTGTTGAAGAACACATTTAAATACTTTGAGGTACAGATAAATCGTCTGGGTGGAATGTCGTGAATTTTTAGTTCTACTCCTACCTAGTTTTCAATCTGATCAATTTTGGATTACTCTGGATTACGGTGTCAAGGAGCTGAGCAGCGATGGGTTTGTGTGACCGTAGGATACGTGTTTGGATACAGTGTTTTGTGCTTCTTTATTCATGGGGATTGTGTTCCGGACAGACCATCTACTCGGTGTCAGAGGAGGTGGATAAAGGCACAGCTGTTGGAAATATCGCCAAAGACCTCAATCTAAATGTGCAAGATCTGGAATCAAGAGGATTTGAGATTGTAACAGGATCGAATAAGAGGTATTTTGACATAAACCGGGAGTCTGGGCTTCTGTTTGTCAATGAAAGAATCGACAGGGAGATGCTGTGTCAGAATTCAGTCAAATGTTTTGTAAATGTTGAAGCAATTTTGAAAAATCCAACTAATCTCCATCACATTGAGGTTAACATTATAGACATAAACGACAATGCACCTTCATTCCGAAACTCAATTCATATCTTCAATATTACTGAATATGCCTCTCCAGGAGAGAGATTTTCTTTGCCTAAAGCTCAGGACATGGATGTCGGCAGTAACTCTGTGAAAACCTACAAGCTGAGTCCAAATGAACACTTCTCCCTGGATGTACAGAGCGGTGGCGAGCAGATGTTTGCTGAGCTAGTGTTACAGAAACCTTTAGACCGAGAGAAACAGGCTGTGATTAAGTTGATAATGACTGCTGTTGATGGAGGAAAACCTCCTATTTCCGGGACACTACAGATTATTGTCAACGTTATTGATGTAAACGATAATTCCCCATTTTTCAGCGAACAACTCTACAAAGTTCAAGTTCCTGAGAATGTCCCAAGTGGAGCAACAATTCTTACTCTAAATGCGACTGATTTTGATGAGGGTGTAAACGGAGATATAGTTTATTCTTTAACGACAAACGAAGATTCAAAAAATACAGAAATGTTCTCCATTGATCCACAGTCGGGAGTTGTCATCTCTAAAGGCAAAATAGACTATGAGGAAAGTACCGCATTTGAGATTCGTGTACAGGCTAAGGACAGGGGTCTCCCTCCTCGTAGCAAGCAGTGTAAAGTCTTAGTTGAAGTGCTTGACGTGAATGACAATGCTCCAGAGATAGCTGTAACATCACACATGGGCGCAGTGAAAGAGGACTCTCTAATTGGCACCGTTGTCGCGTCCATAAATGCAATAGATAAAGATGGAGGTAAAAATGGACATGTTATGTGTGCCATAGTGGGAGACGTTCCTTTTAAACTGCTCTCTACTTATAATAACTATTATTCTGTTGTAGTGGACGGACCTCTAGACAGAGAGAGAACTTCGCAGTATAATGTCACGGTCAGTGCTAAAGATGAGGGCACCCCACCTCTCTTCAATACCACTGTTATTACAGTTCAGGTTTCTGATGTGAATGACAACCCACCTCGCTTTTCAGAACCCATAATAAACGTTTTTGTAAAGGAGAATAGTGCCGTGGGAGTTTTAATTTTAAGCTTGACTGCAAGTGATCCCGATGTCAATGAGAATGCTCAAGTTGCGTATTCGATGCTGGAAACTAGCAACAACATCCCTTTGTCTATGATGATAAACATTAACTCTTTAACTGGTGAGATTTATAGCATGCAGTCTTTTAACTTTGAAGAAGTAAAAAAGTTCCAATTTCAAGTTCAGGCCACAGACTTCGGTGTTCCTCCACTAAACAGCAACGTCACTGTCAACGTTTTTATCCTGGATGACAATGACAACAGTCCTGTGCTTCTCCCGCCTTATTCTGACCACGGCTCTGTTCATTCTGAGAACATTCCCTATTCTGCTGAAGCGGGCTACTTTGTGGCCAAGATCAGGGCTGTAGACGCCGACTCTGGTTATAATGGGCTCCTTTCTTATCACATCGCTGAACCAAAGGGGACCAATCTCTTCAGAATTGGAACCAGCAATGGAGAAATAAGGACTAAGAGACGAATGAGTGACAATGACTTAAAAACTCACCTGTTAGTCATTTTGGTGTCTGATAATGGAGAACCGTCCCTGTCTGTGACTGTGTCTATTGATGTTGTGGTCTTTGAAAGTACAGGTGACATGCAGACAACTTTCAGGCAACTGCCTGTAAAGGAGGAACGTTTCTCAGATTTAAATCTGTATCTGCTTATTGCCATTGTGTCAATATCAGTGATATTTATACTGAGCCTCATCAGTTTAATAGCTGTAAAGTGCCACAGGACAGACGGCAGATTCAGCAGGTACAGCGCCCCAATGATCACCACACACCCTAACGGGAGCTGGTCTTACTCCAAATCTACTCAGCAGTATGAGGTGGGTTTTAGCTCCGATACACTGAAGAGTGACGTGGTAGTTTTCCCCACACCGTTTCCACCTGCTGATGGCGAGCTGATCAGTATTGATGGAGGGGACACTTTCCAAAGGACACGAACTCTCCCTAACACAGAGAAGGTAAGGGCAACTATTATTATTATTTTTTATTGCGTTGTGTCGTTTTTTTCCACTGAAAGATTATTATTATCTTGCTTGCACTTTGTATATATTTTCTTAAATATGTAAATAAATAAAAAATATTGCACGAATTAAATCCTATATTACTTACTGAAACTGTTCAAATTGTATTGGTGCGGTTTTGGTTAGGTAAAAAGAAGCTCAAAATCAATCAATGAGGTACTGTATAAAGCGTCACTATTCAGCATCATGGACAGCGACATACGGCTGCTTTGATTAGTGTCAGTCTCATTCCTGCTCACATGTTTTCTCGATTAAATTGATGCAATGTTATTAATATTCTCCTCTATTATATAAATATACGAACCTGTCGAAATATAGTAGTTCGGTTGTTTATTGTAGAAGCAACAACTGGTAAAGACAAAAATGTATGTGTACACCATAGAATGTAAGAGCTCTTGGTGTCGCTGTAGACCGTGATTATATTCAGCTGACTGCTATATAATATATAATCATTCCTCCCCTAACTCCCACTGCTGAAGGTAGAGTCAGGGGATGCACTTTAGATAGGCCTGTATGTAGAAACAACCGTGGAATACTAGAGATTTGTCTTGTAAAACGCGATCTTAGCAATATTACGAATCTACTGTAAACAACTCACAGAATAATCAGACGGTCAGTACATTGTGGATATTGTTGGATTCGGATTCTGCTGCTTCTTTGTTTATGGCATTTATCTTCCGGTCAGATCGTCTATTATGTCTCAGAGGAGGTGAACAAGAGAACCGTTATTGGGAATATAGCCAAGGACCTGAATCTCAATTTTCAGGAACTTGAGTCCCATATGCTTCAGATTGTATTTTGTTGTGAACCTAAAAACTGGCGTCCTATTGGTGAATGAGAGAATCGACCTGGAGGAGCTTTGTGAGACCAATCAGAAGTGTTCTTTAAATGTGCAGGCCATTGCGCACAATCCTCTAAACATTTTTCGTGTTGAAATAGAGACACTGGATATAAATGATAATGAACCTAATTTCTTGGTAAATTCACTGGCATTAAATGTTTACGAAAACGCTGCTGCGGGAGAGCGATTTCTTCTGCCAGTGGCTGAGGATGCGGATGTGGGCCGATGTGGCCAGTATTAATGGAGGAGATACTGTTCAAAGGACTCAAACTCTGCCAAACAGTGAGAAGGTAAGGACAACTTTTCATAATAAATATTTTTTGTCATTGAGTTTAGATGTATTTTTTTTACTGACAAATTGTTATCATCTTGCGTGTATATTCTACACATTCTTCTTAATTTGAATCCCTTCTAACTTGACGAGAGAGTACAACTTGTGTGGGTATGTTTAGGTTAGGTCAAATCCAGCTTTGAATGCTGTGGTGTTTAGCGTTTCAATTCAGCTCTATGGACAGCGACATACGACTACTTGCATTGGTTTGTGTCAGACTCGTTCATACTAACATGTTTTCTGCAGCACGGTTGTTTCGTATTATTTTTGAACCTGTCAAAATATTATAGTTTTTTGGGTTGTTTATTGTAGAAGTAACAACCAGTATAGACATGCACATGCCTGCGCTTAATTTATGCTAAATAGTTATCCGCAGTCTCTAGTGCCAGGGGTAGTTTCGAAAGCCCTTTGTTCCATATTGACATGTGCTAGCAAGTCTCTCACTCTACATGATGTATTTGGTCGTGTTTGCAATGTCGCAGAACTCTTAATCGTTTTGGATACTCATGCGTATTACGCATGACCAACCCAGCTTTTTTATAGTTCGAAGATGCGTTCTTGTTATAGTTGTATCCTTTTATTTGAAATAGTACTCTTTAAAAGGTTGATTTTGGCCACAATTGGTTTGTTAACAGTGACGGTGGTGTAATTGACACATAACAGATTAGTTTTGTCAATAGTATTTATGCTGTAGCCTATACATACAGAAAACACAGGATGTCGCTGTTGACCATGATAATTATTAATAGGAGGATTAATGCTGGACTCCTTCTCTAGTGAATACCAAAAAGGGAATCGAGTTGAAACCAGTTTTTTGTTTTGGGAGGAGAGGGAAATTATAGTTTGTCTTTTTGTCCGAGATCACTTTGGTTATACTAGCACGGACTAGCAGAGCCTGCATTAGGCTATGCACATTTTTCCCCTTTGAGTATTGTTGTAATTAGCGCTTACTTGTACAGCGATGGGCCTGTGCGACCACAGAAGACGTGTTAGGATACGATATATTCTGCTGCTTTGTTCATGGGGATTGTGTTCTAGACAGTTCGTGTATTCCGTCTCAGAGGAGGTGGATAAAGGCACATTTGTTGGAAATATAGCTAAAGACCTAAATCTAAAGTTGAAAGAACTGGTTTCGAGAGAGATTCAGATTGTAAGGAGATATTTTGATGTCGACGTGAAGACGGGTAATCTTTTTGTCAATGAGAGAATTGACGGAGAAGCCCTCTGCCCAAACTCAGTAAAAGGCTCCTATTGATGTTGAGGCGATATTGAATAATCCTATTTATATACATCGTATTGAAGTTAACATTGTGGACATAAATGACAACCCGACATCATTTGCGGAGCGCATCCACGTTGTCAATATGACTGAATCCGCCTTTCCAGGGGACAGATTTCCTTTACCGTTCACCAGTGATGCGGATGTTGGAAGTAACTCTGTAAAAACCTACAAACTGAGTCCAAACGAACTCTTCTCTCTGGATGTACAGAGCGGTGGCGAGCAGTGTGTCTGCTGAGTTAGTGCTACAGAAAGCTTTAGACCGAGAGAAACAGGATGCGATAAAGCTTGTACTGACTGCTGTTGATGGAGGAATACCTCCACGATCCGGAACTCAACAGATAGTAATTCACGTAATAGATGCGAACGTAAATACTCCGACTTTCTCCAAACCTCTCTATCAAGTGCAAGTGTCAGAAAATGTTGCATTTGGAACATAATTCTAACTTTAAACGCAACAGACTTAGACAAGGGGGTGAACGGTGAAATTGAATACTCATTCACTGGGAAAGGAGAAATGGGCCCTCAACATGTCTTTAAACTCAACCAGCATACTGGTGAATTAACAGTAAAAGGGCGTTTGGATCACGAGGAAAACCCTTCATTTGAAATCCGTGTACAAGCAAAAGAGAAGGGTAATCCACGAAGGAGTGCCTATTGCAAAGTCATAATTGAAATACTTGATATGAATGACAATTCCCCAGAGATAATAGTGACGTCACCTCCTGTCGCATTGCAAGAGGATGCTAAGAAAGGAACAGTTGTGGCTTCAATAAATGTGCGTGACAAAGATGGTTGAAAAAATTGACTCATCAAGTCCGAAGTAATCGGAGATGTTCCTTTTAAATTACAGTCATCTTATAAAAACTATTACTCTAGTTGTAGACGGGCCTCTGGACAGAGAGAGTGCATCTCTTTATAATGTAACTATTAAAGTCACAAATGAAGGGACCTCACCTCTCTCCAGCGCTAGTGTTATTATGTACACATTTCTGATGTGAATGACAACGCGCCAAGCTTTCCAGAGCCCATAATGATCGTGTATATCTATGAGAATAGTACAGTGGGGTTCCTGTTGGCAGCGTGACAGCGAATCACCCTGATATCGATGAAAACTCTACATTTACTTACGCACTGGAGAAATATACAGCTTGCAGTCATTTAACTACGAGGAGATAAAAACATTCCAGTTCCACGTTCAGGCCACAGACTCTGGTGTTCCTCCACTAAGCAACAATGTCACTGTTAAAGTTTTTATCCTGGATGAGAATGACAACTGTCCTGTGAATCTCCCGCCTTATTCTGACCACGGCTCTGTTCATTCTGAGAACATTCCATATTCTGCTGAAGCGGGCTACTTTGTGGCCAAGATCAGTGCTGTAGACGCCGACTCTGGTTATAATGGGCTCCTTTCTTATCATATCTCTGAACCAAAGGGGACCAATCTCTTCAGAATTGGAACCAGCAATGGAGAAATAAGGACTAAGAGACGAATGAGTGACAATGACTTAAAAACTCACCCGTTGGTCATTCTGGTGTCTGATAATGGAGAACCTTCCTTGTCTGTGACTGTGTCTATTGATGTTGTGGTCTTTGAAAGTACAGGTGACATGCAGACAACTTTCAGGCAACTGCCTGTAAAGGAGGAGAGTATATCAGATTTAAATCTGTATCTGCTCCTCGCCATTGTGTCAGTAGCAGTGATATTTATACTGAGCCTCATCAGTTTAATAGCTGTAAAATGCCACAGGTCAGAAGGCAGTTAAAGCAGGTACAGCGCCCCAATGATCACCACACACCCTGACGAGAGCTGGTCTTACTCAGTATGAATGGAGCGGACACTTTTAAAAGAACACACACGCTTCCAAATAGTGACAAGGTAAGCTATTGTTTTCTTTAATGACCCCATATTCAAAACCGTGATTGTAACCTGGTGTTTTTGGTGTGTTTCTATTGTGGATTTCGGTAATCTTGTTTAGGCCTAACTTCAGTTATCTCGAAGGTAGGCCTATATTGGCCTTTTAGGTAACGAAATGTGACTTGCCAGTAGGAAGTTATATTTATGTAAGTAGTTTTGTATTATCTATAATTTTAGGAGATTCGTTTTTGGATTATTGTAGTTGATAAAAATTACGCCATTAAGAGGAGTTATTCAAGCATCCATTCAGCACCACGGACAGCGACTCGGTTCGGCATGCGCTTATCACTTCTCAGTTGCGTAAATAGGTCTTGTAGCATTCTCCTTTATCCTTAAAAAATATATTTTACAATGCATTTCATTTTGTCAGACTATGTTTAGGCTACCAGTCGTTAAACAGCAGAGATCAGTGGCGATTTTAGCATGTACAGTGGGGAGAACAAGTATTTGATACACTGCCGATTTTGCAGGTTTTCCTACTTACAAAGCATGTAGAGGTCTGTAATTTTTATCATAGGTACACTTCAACTGTGAGAGACGGAATCTAAAACAAAAATCCAGAAAATCACATTGTATGATTTTTAAGTAATTAATTTGCATTTTATTGCATGACATAAGTATGTGATACATCAGAAAAGCAGAACTTTAATATTTGGTACAGAAACCTTTGTTTGCAATTACAGAGATCATACGTTTCCTGTAGGTCTTGACCAGGTTTGCACACACTGCAGCAGGGATTTTGGCCCACTCCTCCATACAGACCTTCTCCAGATCCTTCAGGTTTCGGGGCCAACAGTTGTTGCCTTCTCACCAAGCTGCTTGCCTATTGTCCTGTAGCCCAACCCAGCTTTGTGCAGGTCTACAATTTTATCCCTGATGTCCTTACACAGCTCTCTGGTCTTGGCCATTGTGAAGAGGTTGGAGTCTGTTTGATTGAGTGTGTGGACAGGTGTCTTTTATACAGGTAACGAGTTCAAACAGGTGCAGTTAATACAGGTAATGAGTGGAGAACAGGAGGGCTTCTTAAAGAAAAACTAACAGGTCTGTGAGAGACGGAATTCTTACTGGTTGGTAGGTGATCAAATACTTATGTCATGCAATAAATGCAAATTAATTACTTAAAAATCATACAATGTGATTTTCTGGATTTTTGTTTTAGATTCCGTCTCTCACAGTTGAAGTGTACCTATGATAAAAATTACAGACCTCTACATGCTTTGTAAGTAGGAAAATCTGCAAAATTGGCAGTGTATGAAATACTTGTTCTCCCCACTGTACATCTTGGTGGGGCAAAAAATAAAAAAATAATTGGGGGATGCATGCCAGCAAAGCCACTACACAACACACCACAACACTAAACATTACATTCATTGCACTATAACGGTGAAAAACGGTGCCCACAAACTGTTAGGGCCTACATAAAGCTGTTCCAACAGCAGTCCCAACATCTTACCACTGCTACACCTGGCTATCAGCAGAGCCTTTTCTGGCAGCGAAACAGTTAATTCAGCCTCAATCCGTAATTTCGATTAAGACATTAATGAGTGAGCTAGGATAGATGTAGTCAATATAACAATTTGTTCAGCACTTTTGAAATGTACAGCGACATCATTCAGAACATGTGCTGTTCTTACAGTATTCTCTCTGTACACCAAGTCAGAACCGTAGGATAAATAAAGGGGGCATATAAGCAGACAATGAAAGCTCTTACAATACTTGACGATTACATTTCTCTAAAACAGACTATAGGCTACATGTGCACCACCAAGTCAGAACAGTAGGCTAAGTTATGAGGGGAAAATTGACCAAATTATTAGGGTGAGGCACATGGGCTACTAACAGCTTACTACCCAACATACACTTAGTATTACTTTCTTAGCTACAGTACAAATATCTCCCTGGGATATTACATCATTTATGCAGCAGTATACAAGACACCTTTGGTCTCACCTTGTTGTGCTGTGCTCACTTGAACAGGAAGGTGTCGCGGAGGTCCTTCATGGGCAAATTTTGTCATCAAACTTTGTCATCAGAGTCTGGCATTCTCTGGATTTATGGTGTTTTCAAGACAACGGGGAACTCTGAAAAAAAACAAGGTATAATCATGATGACATCAGTGATCTTCAGGATGGAGCTCTAGAAAGAGGCCCGAGATCCCGACTTGCAATTCCGAGTTGGATGTCCGTTCAAAACGTATTTTCCCAGTCAGAGCATGTTTTTTTCAGAGTTCCCAGTTGTCTTGAACTCACTGAAGTTTGAGATTTCCCAGTTCTGAGTTTCCAGTTGTTTTGAGCGCGGCAGAAATCATGCTGGATTGACAGCATGGCCATTGTTGAATGTTTATCATTTTAAGCTTGGAAAAGAGACCCTTAAACCCAAACGTGGACCACACACCCACTCCACTGAATAGCAGGCTAGTGATTGCTTTGCAATGCTTGCAGTTAGCCACTAATTCCTTCCAAACCACTCATTGTTGAATTTGCAATTTCCAACTTGTTGAGTAATGTTTTTGTCCAATTGCCGATGAGCACCAATATGTTTTATCTATAATTTATCTTCCCATGACAAGGATTGAAAAGGATTTGCCAGTAGATTGTCGACTTGATTCATGATGATGACTGCTAGCTTGTTAGCTAAGATTTTGGAAGTATGATGTTGTGATCAGTCCAATCAAAGCTACTGTAGATATAACGTGATTTTACATAATTTTATCTGTGGCCAATGATGAGCCTTCTTGGATGGGCACTTCTAATGTAACTGTCACGCTCTGGCTCTAGGGACTCTTTTAAGTTGAGCCAGGGTGTGTAGAGTTTATGTTTTGTGCTCGTTGTGTCTAGTCTAGTTTTTATATATCTATGTTGGCCAGAGTGGTTCTCAATCAGAGGCAACGAGTATCAGCTGTTGCTGGTTGTCTCTGATTGGGAACCATATTTAGTCAGGTGTTTTCCCACAGTGTTTGTGGGATCTTGTTCCGTGTTGGTTTGTGTTTTGCACCTGTGGACGTCACGTATCGATTTGTTGTTTTGTTCGTGTATCATTTAATAAATAAGTATGTTCACCTTCCACGCTGCGCCTTGGTCCTCTATATCCGACGATCGTGACAGAAGATCCCACCAATACAGGACCAAGCAGCGTGCCCAGGCAGGAGAGGAGAAGCGGCGCCAACCGGGCAGTCGTCGGACAGGCGAGGGGCACCCCCAATAAATTTTTAGGGGGGGGCACATGGCAGGGACGACGGGGCCACTGGAGGCAGATAAGGGGCGAGTTGGTGGACGAGGAGAGAAGGCCACCGGGTTACGGGAGCCATTGGTGTATAGAGGGAAGGAAAATGTAGAGGCACGGCGAGAGGTACTGAAGTGTGTTGCCAGTCCGGTCCGGCCCGTTCCTGATCCCTGTGTAAGGCCAGTGGTGTGTGTTCCCAGTACGTTCCAGCCTGTTCCTGTCCATCGCGCCAAGCCTATGGTGCGCGTCGCCAGCCCGGCCCGGCCTGTTCCTGCCCCTCGCACCAAGCCTATGGTCACGTCGCCAGCCCGGCCCGGCCTGTTCCTGCTCCCCGCACCAAGCCAATGGTGCGCGTCGCCAGCCTGGTCCGGCCTGTTCCTGCTCCCCGCACCAAACCTGTGGTGCGCATCGCCAGCCCGTGCCCGTTTCACCGGTGCCTGGTCAGGTACCGGTCAGCTGCTCCACACCGGAGCCTGAGCAATCCGCTCCACCGAAGTCCAGTCCAGCTCCAGCCAGTGGGGCTAGACCAGACCAGGGGCACTACGGGGGGGTTAGTAGAGGGTGGTGGTCAAGCCCGGAGCCGGAACCGCCTCCGAGGAGGAATGCCCACCCAGCCCTCCCCTGTTCGGTGATGTTTAGGCGCGGTCGCAGTCCGCGCCTTTAGGGGGGGGGGGGGGTACTGTCACGCCCTGGCTCTAGGGACTCTTTTAAGTTGAGCCAGGGTGTGTAGAGTTTATGTTTTGTGCTCGTTGTGTCTAGTCTAGTTTTTGTATATCTATGTTGGCCAGAGTGGTTCTCAATCAGAGGCAACGAGTATCAGCTGTTGCTGGTTGTCTCTGATTGGGAACCATATTTAGTCAGGTGGTTTTCCCACAGTGTTTGTGGGATCTTGTTCCGTGTTGGTTTGTGTTTTGCACCTGTGGACGTCACGTATCGATTTGTTGTTTTGTTTGTGTATCATTTAATAAATAAGTATGTTCACCTTCCACGCTGCGCCTTGGTCCTCTATATCCGACGATCGTGACAGTAACTTTATGGCACACCCAAGGGACTTGGGATTTTCGAGCTCTACCCTTAGACTTTGCAGTGAAGTAGTGTCCCCATAAGTGACAGAACACTGAGCAAATCACGGCACAACTAGAGAACATTACCAACCCCTATGCTCCGTATTTTCCGCTGGCTGCCCCACCACCACAGAAAGCACTAAGTTAGGCTGAAACACCTGCATTTTGGAGCTGCCTTACTCAAGAAAGCAAAAAAGAGACCAAGTTTGTATGCGGCTTTATTAACTAAATTATTTTATTTATTTATTATCATTATTTGCAAACTGAAATGTGAAACATATTAATGCCAAAATAACATGCTAAACAGGCTCTGCCCCACCTGCCCTGAATGACGGGTCGCCATTGGCAGAGATGTAGGGCCACATTATTTTGTCTTTGAAAAATATTCCACATGGTGTCACTACAGACCATGAATGCTGTATAAAACCCCTCCACTCCTTGGACTCCGCCTCTCACATAATCTCTAATCTCATGTGACCAGTACAGAGGCCTCCTCCGTGAAATGAAACACTGACGTGGACGAAACGAGGGTCCTTTTTTTCTGTAACATCTGGGAAGCCATATGTTGCGTCATAAATTATTTGAATTTTAAGGACCACTGTGTTGCATTGTTACCTGCTTGAGGAGACAATGGCTAACTTTACATCTTACTTCCACTCATGGATTTATTTGTACTCGTAACTCCTGTGCTTCATCATGCAAGCGTTCTCCGAACAGATTGTGTATTTGATTTCAGAGGAGGTAAAACAAGGTAATTTGTTGGCAATTTGGCTAAGGATTTGAATCTGAACGTACAAGATATGGAATCGTGATGTTTCAGATCGTTTCTGCATCAAAGAAGAGTAACGTCGATGAAAATCTGAAAACGGGAATCTTTTTTGTGAGCGAGAGAGTTGACCAAATGCTTGCTCGTGCTCTTTACATCTAGAGGCCATTGTTAACCATCCCCTCAGCCTGCATCGAGTGAAGATAAATGTTATGGACATCAATGATAATCCGCCCACTTTTCATGTGAAAGAACAGGTCTTTGATATATCTGAGTCAGTGCTTCAGGTGCTAGGTTCTCGTTGATGAGTGCTTTGGATCCCGATGTTGGATCAAACGGGGTGAAAACCTACAACCTCAGTCCGAATCAATACTTCTCTTTGGAAGTACAGAGCGGTGGAGAGCAGAGTTTGTCTGCTGAGTTAGTGTTAAAGAAAGCGTTAGACCGAGAGAAACAGGCTCTTATCAAGCTAGTAGTGACTGCCGCTGATGGGGGAAAGCCTGCTCGATCCGGGACATTGGTAATTGAAGTTAATGTGCTGGATATTAATGACAACAGTCCTGTTTTTAGCAGCCCACTTTACAAAGTACGTGTGTATGAAAACGCAGCTCCAGGAACTAAGATTTTAATACTGAATGCGACTGATCTAGATGAGGGTCCAAATGGGGAGATTTTGTATCTTTTCAGCCGACATTGTCAGGAAAACAATCTAGATACATTTTATATTTGACGGTGACATCAACGTTAAAGGAGTGATCGATTTTGAAGAAACTGCTTTTTATAAAATTAGGGCTGAGACCCTGGACAAAGGCCAATCAGCAATGGGTGCTCATTGTAAAGTGTTGGATGAAGTAGTTGACGTTAATGACAACATACCAGAGATAAGTGTCACATCATTGTTACACGCAGTGAGGTAAGACTGGCACTGCTATCGCACTAATTATTGTCATAGATAAAGATGGAGGAAATAATGTAAACTGTAGATTAATGGGTGAATCACCCTTTAACCTTCAAACTTCTTATCGTAATCACTACTCTGTTGTTCTCAACGGGGCATTAGACAGAGAGAGAGTGCCTCACAATACAATGTTACTATCTTAGCAACAGATGAAGGAACCCCTCCTCTTTCTAGTGCAAGTGTTACCACGGTTTATATTTCTGATGTTAATGATAACTCACAACGTTTTGCAGACAGTACCCTTAATGTGTATGTCAAGGAAACGCACCCGTTGGAACGCTAATGTGCACTGTGTCCGCACACTAATGAACATGCCCAGGTATCGTATTCTGTCTTGGATAACAACTCAAAGGGAGCTGCAGGTTCTCATTTTGTCAATAGTAACTCTTTAACTGGTGAACTTTACAGGTTGCAGTCTTTTAACTATGAGGAGTTTAAAACGTTTGAGTTCCAAGTTCAGGCCACAGACTCTGGTGTTCCTCCACTAAGCAGCAATGTCACTGGTAACATTTTTATCCTGGATGAGAATGACAACTGTCCTGTGAATCTCCCGCCTTATTCTGACCACGGCTCCGTTATTTCTGAGAACATTCCCTATTCTGCTGAAGCAGGCTACTTTGTGGCCAAGATCAGGGCTGTAGATGCCGACTCTGGTTATAATGGGCTGCTTTCTTATCACATCTCTGAACCAAAGGGGACCAATCTCTTCAGAATTGGAACCAGCAATGGAGAAATACGGACTAAGAGTGACAATGACTTGAGTTACAACTCACCCGTTGGTCATTCTGGTATCTGATAATGGAGAACCTTTCCTGTCTGCCACTGTGTCTAATGATGTTGTGGTCGTTGAAAGTACAGGTGACATGCAGACAACTTTCAGACAACTGCCTGTAAAGGAGGAAAGTTTCTCAGATTTAAATCTGTATCTGCTCATTGCCATTGTGTCAGTATTAGTGATATTTATACTGAGCCTCATCAGTAAAATGCCACAGGACAGATGGCACATTCAGCAGGTACAGCGCCCCAATGACCAACGCGCACCCTGACGGTAGCTGGTCTTACTTCAAATCTACTCAGCAGGATGATGTGTGTTTTAGCTCCGATACACTGAAGAGTGACATAGTAGTTTTCCCCACACCGTTTCCACCTGCTGATGGTGAGCTGATCAGTATTAATGGAGGTGACACTTTCCAAAGGACGCAAACTCTTCCAAACAGTGAGAAGGTAAGGAAAGCTTTTCATAATGTATTTTTTTGTCATTGAGTTCAGATAAAGGTGAGCCTTTTTCACTATTCACAATAAGTACTGGGTCTGTTACTCTGTTTTATTCATTCACTGTTCATGGCTTCGGTTTTATCAACATTTTATTGTTGGATGATTAATTGACAGTGACATTTTCTTCAATTGTGAAGTGAAGTCAAATTTCACAACAGCGAATGCTGCTTCATCAAACGTAGCGTTAGTAGCCTGCGGAAGTAGAGTATAGGACTATTTCAGTGCCACCAAGCTAGACAGCAGAATCAGTGCTTCAGCACCACCACAGTGGAAAGCAGCATCAGTACTGCATGCCTATTTCAGCATAATCGGTGTGGAAAGCAGCATTCGTACGGAGGTATAGTATAGGCCTATTTCAGCACCACCGGTGTGGAAAGCAGCATCCGTACGGAGGTATAGTATAGGCCTATTTCAGCACCACCGGTGTGGAAAGCAGCATCCGTACGGAGGTATAGTATAGGCCTATTTCAGCACCACCGGTGTGGGAAGCAGCATCCGTACGGAGGTATAGTATAGGCCTATTTCAGCACCACTGGTGTGGAAAGCAGCATCAGTACTGCCTTGCGTTCAGCAGGACACAATGTTTTGCAACATTCAGATAGAAATATGTAATGTAGAACAAACATGCCTCTCCGACATAAAGACCAAGGAATCATGTTTCTATCTGCAACATTCAACAACGTTTGGCTACTGAACGTGGCCCTGAGGTATAGTATAGGTCGAAATGTCAGTCATCTGTTTGACTGTGTGTTTTGGTTCTCACTGAGGATATGAAATGATAGCATGTTTCTGTAATGCCATCCCACAGGTCAGTTATGCATGAGTCCTTGACAGAGGACACGGATGAGTCCAGCTGTATGTGCGTCAAGCCTGAGGTTCCACCTGGCCCGTCTGGCAGAGGCAGATACATGGATTAGAAGTGCCAGGGGCTGAAGGCCGGAGCACTGGAGCAATCCCACCTGCATTATGTGTGGAAGGCAGGAGGATTCACTCTCACTGCTGCACTGAGAGCGATACTGCAACTTCAGAGAGACATGCCTGGGCTAGAGCCCTGCTCCTCTCTCTCTCTCTCTCTCTCTCTCTCTCTCTCTCTCTCTCTCTCTCTCTCTCTCTCTCTCTCTCTCTCTCTCTCTCTCTCTCTTTCTCTTTCTCTTTCTCTTTCTCTTTCTCTTTCTCTCTCTCTCTCTCTCTCTCTCTCTCTTTCACGTGCTCTCTCACTCTCTCACAATTGCTTTCTTTCTTTTCTCTCTGCGGTTTTCACAGATTTCACAGTGTCTTGTATCACCATATTACAGCAGGCTCTCATGAAAAGTGTGCTACACTAATCCTTAATAAGATTTCAGTATTTCCTCTAACTCTTTGTAAGTGCTTCTAGAGGCAGACTGAACCAGTTGAGGGGATTGAGTCTCATTGTGCTCCTGGTTAATCACCTCATCCATGAGAGCAGAATATTACATAGAGCCCACCTATATGTTGGGCGGCTGGGATAAGGATTCTGATTAAGGACAGTTTTTCACTTGTTTGCCTTACAGATGAAGTGTGTGTCACACTGAGATGACACATCTCATAAAGTGGCTGTGTATGTTGATGTTTCATGTTTAATGTTGTACTTTTTCTCCCGTCTTAGGTGAAGTTGAGAATGTATGGTACGGTGTTAATGTCCACTCTCTGAGCTTTTGTTAGATAACATTTCTGGGAGTCAGAATACTGGTTCTCTAGTTCTCCACAGGGCCAATTACTCATACTGCATTATAAGCCATATTCAAACACTAGTGTTCAGATAGCTTCCCAGTAATACTGAGTTTCTAAACGTTGTCTGTCTATAGTTAGTAGTGCTGTAGAGCTGTCTCAGGAAGAGAGATTAACAATTCCCTGCTGTGCAGCAAAGACAGAGGAGAGAGGATGGAATAGGGAATAGGAGCGACAGGATGTCCTTTCATATCTTCTTATTTTGTTTGTAACTTAAGCAAGCCTGCTGCAACCGCCCAAGGGAATTCAAGAATAATTTTACATTCGTATTAATCGACACACCGTCACATGCAGGTCTCTCTCTCTCTTTTCTCATCCCTACCTTATCTTCTTCCTATTTTCTCTCACTTTTCATCATCTCTTTCCTCTCCATGTCATATGATGTACTGTTTTACATTTTGTTTTATATGTTATGTAAGGGCTTTAATATGTTTGGACCCCAGGAAGAGTAGCTGCTGCCTTGGCAGCAGCTAATGGGGATCCCTAATCAAAACAAATACATTCCCTGTGTATTGGTTGGACAGATGATTCAGACATGGCACCTCTTCTATTGGTCCTTCATTTCGTCATGTGTTATTCAGCAGGGCCAGTGGGGAGGCAGCAGCATGCCTCTTACAAACCTGGTCTAAGCAGTGTGACACACACTGTCTTTAACAACCACATAGTCATGAATAGTGAAGCTCTCAAATTCACAATTAAAGTCTACTTCATTAAAACAAATATCATCCACATAATCTCATACTGTGCTGTAGGAGAAAATGTCGTTTGTCCAATTGAAATGTTCATTTTAAGGTACATCTAAAATGGTAATCCATAGCCATCTATCTGTCGTTATACAACCATCATTAGTCCACCAAATCTATTACTCATATCACATCCAAAGGTCATGGACCAAAACCAAGAGCATAACATCACTACAGATCAGCACAGACAACCTGCACACCAGTGGAGGCTGCTGAGGGGAGGACGGCTCATAATAATTGGTGGAACAAAGCAAATGGAATGCCAGCCATTACCACAAGCCTGTCTTCCCCAATTAAGGTGCCATCAACCTCCTGTGCTGCACACACATATGAGAGAGAGAGGGAGAGAGAAATTGAGATAAGGCGAGAGCTAGAGAGAGATAGATGGAGGATGGAGGATGGATGGATGAGAACACATACAGATGCATACCTAGATATCTCTTCAAGTATGTGATGTATTTCTAATCATGTTATTGTCTTCTCTAAGATGTACAGTATGTTGTTTCTTATGCATGGCTGTCGCTGCCCAGGCTATCATAATCGAGTGTTTCTAACAGTCAGTCTCTGAATGGCTTGGCTGGTATGTTTCTGCGGAGGGCTGCAGGTGGCAGACCAAGCTAAGCTGAGCTGTGTGTGAGACTGCTAGAGCAAGCTGTTCACTGGCGCCCTCTGTCTGTGTAGTGGTGGTGATGGAAGGTGGGAGGACGGGAGATTTATCTGGCAGCGTCTGTAGAAGGCTCCAATTTGACCTGTCTTACTCAGCCAAGAGATTTATCCATTAGAAACCATCAGTGGTTGACATGGTTTTGTGTCAGTAATCTCCCCCAATTTCTGTGTGATGTGATGTTCTCTTTACCATAAAAATAGTATCACAAAGGGAAATCAGTTAGTGTGCCAATGACATCACAGAGGAACATGTATTTTGTACTGTGCTATCATAGTGACTCACAATATTGAGGTCACAGTGCACTCACTGTCTCTCAGTCATGACATAACAGTAACTGTTGATAAAATGACATAACCTGCAGACATATAGGTCAGGGATTTCTCACTCATTCACATAATAGGCTAAGGCGCCTCGTCTTCTGTGGAAAAATTGTGTTTCTCTAGGAATTATTATGGCTTCCCATGCTCAGTGTGATATGATTAGTCACAGTTTCAGTGTGAGCGTGTGAGAGCGGCTGAAGATGCTTGACCCATTTCGATCAGTGTCAGAGCAGAGAGAGGATACACTGGCTGGAGCTGATGAGGAGGAGCTGTGAGGTCATCAGTCATCGCCCAAAGCCGTCTGATTACACCAGAATGCACAGAGGAGGGCAGTGAGGTCATCAGCCCGCTCCAACAGCTCTGGTACTGGATCAGAGTTCATAAGGAGGAGCGTTGGGGTTATCATTCATAGCTGAGGGCTCCAGGACTGAAACAGGGTGTAGCAGGATATATAGTAGAAATGTTATGCATTGGCACAGAGACACAGACAAAAATTAGCAGTCATTCTCTGACTCAAGCCAGGTTTCTATTACTATGTCATATAACTCTAATTGACCTTGGAGATTCTGAAATTCAACAGTTACATTCATCTGCTGCCACATATTCTGTGCATGCCAGGATTTATCTCCTTGTATAAAGTCCACCACAAGCTAGTATTGTACTGTTCAGGTTATTGTACTAAGACAAACCAATCTCTCAAGCCATAGGAGCATGGGTAAGGGTGTAGTTGATGTCTAAGCTTCATATCAATTGTCACCTGCTTGATGTAGATACAGTATATCATAACACAGACTTAGAAATGAATAGACCTGACTTGCTCCTCTGACATATTGAGGTGTTGGGATGGACAGGGCACTAATCAGCAGGCACTGTGAAATGTGCACAATGTTGGGACCTCATACAATACTGCAGTGACTCATGGACACTAGAGGGCACCCACTGTCACATCTAGTCATGCTGTTTCTGTACACAAACGCTTCAGCTGGAGGCTGCAGCAGTCTCCGGTCGCAGCTTGAGAACAAGAGAGGAGGGAGAGAGAGAG